TATATTACACTAAATAAGAAACTTATTTTGATATATTATATTTTGTATAGTATTTTAATTTGATATAAAATAATTATTTTATATATACATCACATATTTCATTTTAAAATATCTACATGAAAAAATTTGCAAATGCAACCAACTTAACTGCAACAGAATCTCTGCAAAAAACAAAATATCTACATCAATAAATTTACATCATACTATTAATTTTGGATCATGCGCTATTGATAATAGTTGGGTCCAATTTAAAATATAACTAGATCTCGACCCGCGCAACCGCGCTTGTGTTTGTTTTCATTTATTTTTATAGAAATATTTTGTTTTTTATTCTTTTAAACGATTTGTTTTCACTTATAAATTGATATATATATATATATATATATATATATATATATATATATATATATATATATATATGTATATCAATTTTTAAAAGATAATAATTTTATCATATATTAGTTTTTTCATCGAATAGATTGTTTCAAACTTTCACATGTATTTGTATCTTCTTCTATATTTTTTTGAATTATTATTTCATTATTATAGTCGTATATATATGTAAACATTGGTAAAATATTGTTTTATTTTTATCTTTAAAGATATTTTAATATTTCTCAAATTTAGAAAGTTTAACAAAAATAAAAATTTTAGCTCCATATAACTAAACATTTAATTGTTTTTATTTTTAAAATAAACTATATAACTTAAAAAATGTTTCTATTGGTTTAAGGTAGTATAGCTTAATCATTGTTAGAAAATGATGATTTTGTTATTTTAAAAAATAAAATATATAATTTTAAAATTTAGCATCGACAAATATATTATAAATAATTAACTTATGAAGATATACTATTACAACATTAAATCATATCCATTTAATTTAAACATATTTTTTATTATATTATATATAAATTCAATGGGTTCTCTAATTATTGTTGCCCAATAAATTTTTTAGATAAGCCCAAAATTATATGTATCTAATTTTAAGGTTACTAATTAATGATTAAATAAGGTAATGTGACAAATTCTAGTAGATAGTCTATTTTAAATATCACACATTAAAAGAGTCATGACTTCTCTTTTAATATATTAGATTGATTATAATTGATTATCTAAATATATAACATAACCACCTTGATAAAACAATTTTGTAACTTCCATTAAAGTTCCAAAAATTTCGGATCTAACTATGTCAGCTACGTATGTTACTAATATAATAATTTTCTAACTACTTCTAAGATGTATGCATATTTTGTATAGTCACTCTTTAAATTTCAAAATATTAGTGATTCACCATTTTCAATATCACAAACTGTCGACTACGAAATCCATTAAATAAAAATTATGTCATTTGGAAACAATAATATTGATATTATACTTTAATAAATATTATTTTCACCACACAAATTAAAGAGCATGAACTAAGGTTTAATTAATGTTTTAAACATTATACTTCTATGACATGAATATATTTAAATATTATAGTTCATGTGCTTGAACTAATTCTAGAAAATCATTATACTTCTATGACATTAATATATTTTTGTTATGTAGAAAAAAATATTAATAACTATTTAGCAATAAAGTCAAAATTAATGTGTAAAATAACTATGGTACAACCAGTGTTTTGAAACATGATCCATATACTGGACCGATCAACTTACTAGATCACTGGATTATTGGCTCACCGGCAAACTGTAAGTTGCTAAATTAATCAATTTTGTTATATAATAATATATTAGTTATTAAGAAATAAAATAAATATTTTATGTTTTAAAAAACATTTTAAAAATATGAAACTTTAGTTTCTTTATTTTTATTTATATAAAAATATCAAACACAAAAACAATGTAGATTATTTAACAAATTTTATAGCAAGTTAAAAGTTAGAAATATTATAAAAATCAGTATTATTAATTTAGAATCACTCTTAACTATTACCTATACTACTACGTGGTATATTACGCTGGATTCACTTTAAACTCTTAAATAACTAGACAACCTTTTAGATAACTAAAACAGCCGAGTGGTTTTAATTCTATAACTTACGTTTCAAATTGAGACAGAAAACAAATAGCAGCGAAAAAATATGATTATACAAACACACAAACATATAAATTACATTAGGTAAAAACAAATTTTTTAAAAATATACCCACCCTCTTGAGGACGGGTCAAAATCTAGTTTCCAGTTAAATCACCTGCAAAACAAATTTTATACCTAATTTTTACTGTTATAATCTAACCACTCATCATATGTGTCCCTTCAACAACAAACAATTTATGAATAACGAACTATGGAAAAATTTATTACTTATCAAATTTGAAAAGTATGATGAGTAATAAATTATAGAAAAATTAATGCAGAAAAAATTATGACATTTTATATATGTTTGTTTTTGTGATCCTTTTTATTTAATGAGTTATAGAAAACTGGTTACTATTTTCTTTATTTAATTTTATTTGTCGTTTTAAGTTTGTGTATACAGATTAAACAAAATTAGTTTTGCAATTTTTCGAACTAAAACATCATACCTATAAACCTAATTATATTTGAAATAATAAAAAATAGAATAGCATATAAATTTAATAAATTTTGTAATGAAATTATAAAACGACACTATTTTAAAACAAAAACTATATTCTACAACAACAACTACATTGAAAAGGAAGTAGTTCAAATTTGAAAAATTACAATAAGCAACAAATGTTCATATTAATTCTTAAATTATTTTCCTCTTCATATTTTTCATTCCGGTTGTTTTAGTGGTTATCCATAATAATTTAAATTTTAGTTTAAAATAAATTAACACCTTACTACTATGTTAAAATTTATTAATATGAATATATAATGAATAGATGATATCCAAAATTAAAATTACGTTTGTCAACTTATTTTAACTAATTTGTTATTTTTTTTAACACTGGATTGTATAATTAAGTCATTTAGGCAAGAAGTTCTTAATAATGAAAACTAGCAAAACAAACATAGAAAACGAGTACACATAACAAACATAGAAAACGAGTACACATCTTTGTGTATCCTGTCTTTTGTTACGGTGGAAATTGTTGTGTGGTCTGAATTGGATGTTAGACCAAAATTCTGTTTTAAGTATTTTTGTAAAACCAAACCGATCTCTTCTTCCCAGTCTTGTACTCGTCAACGGAAATGATAAAAAAAAACATATCTTATTCGGTTTTATCGAACACGGAGTATATTACTAATTTTCCTTTCGAATTTTTGCAACACTAGTCGCAAAAAAAAAAATAATAATAATAATTATCATCTATTTGACAAAAGTTTTGATGATATCAGCAGTCATATCAGCGATATCATGCACGGCTTTGTTACGTTGGGTAACCGGCAACGGAGAATATCCAGCGAACTGGTCTTCACAAATACCAGGAACAGACACAACTTCTTTCATGTCAGACATCGCCAGAGAATACTTCTTAGCCTTTAGATCAGCCAAAGCTGCCGGTAAAAACCTATTAGCCGCCGCACCGTACTCCTCCATGCAAGTTCCGTATCTCTCGTAGTCTCCACGGCCGCCTCCATTAATTTTCTTATACACGGAGGTGAGGTAATCTAACGATTCGTTCACTTTCTTTGTCGTCGCATCGATAGAGATCGACGCAAGCCCTTTTTTCATGAAATGTAAATTAAATTAGATAAGTATATATTTCTTAGCTACATTACTATGCAATATGTATGATGATGTTACGTGAATAATTCTTTCACATTATTTATATTTAGTATCTCACCTTGGATATCGGAGGTTTTGCTTCTAGGATCAAGATTAAGAGTAGAGACGCATAGGGTTTGGTAACGGTTGCTTTTGCAGAGTTGCTGTATAAGATTAGGTCCTGGAGGAGACAGATTTGGTTGAGAGAGGGCTATTTGGATTTGGATAAACAAGACAAAAATGGAGAATAATTTCATAAAGTTATTCATTTTGTTATTTGATACTAGGTATAGTTGAGAGCTATAGAAATAGGGTTAGTGAATTGTTTGTGATTTCAAGGTTGCCCTTTATAGACTCAAAGGTTATTTAGATTGTTGACTAAATTAAAAAGTTTCCTTAGTTTTCAAATTGCGTATAAAATAGATATGGACACCGAATTAATGGACTAAGAGTTACTAAGACGAAGACCAACAATTACGGTTGTTTAATATACTGATTTGCTGTCATTAAGTTTCAAATACAATTCTTTTTTTTTGTTTTTTGGATTGTATTACGGACTAAGAATTCTAAACAATGAGAATTAATATAGCAAATTTAGAAAAAGATACACTAATAGGAATCCAAAGTAATCTAACATACATCTATTTTGTGTATTGATGAAGATTTTTCATATAAAAATTTCATATTTTCTTTTGGAATAGTTGAATCTCGAAAGAGATAATCTTCGTACTAATCTAAAAATATTATGCTTCAAACTGAACCGAGAACGATTGCCATTTTCTTTTCAGGAGGAATTACCGAGTCAAAACAATTCTTTATATTATTATATTGATAATAATAGAATAAAATAAATTATTATACTACTATCTTTCGAATTAATTATAGTATGTAGCACGAACTCCATCGCCAACTGATGAAGAACTATCAATGATTGAAGCTGATAAAACCTATCGCTATCATTCACAGTATATTTATCAATTACTTTTGTTAAACGGTTTAGTTGAATTGAAGTTTTTGTTTTACCAGATCCATAGAAAAACATACAAAAAAACAATAAAAAACATTTGCCAAATTCAAAATAAATTCACAATTAAATAAACCAAATGGCAAACCGTAAAACAAATCAAATAAAAAACAGAATAAATCAAGCTGATGTCAAAATTATAGAGACTTCTGACTATCGGTTTGAAACTATAAAAAAAATCTTTCTTTTTTTCTTTTAACGGTTGGAAGTTTCAAATACAATTCATTAACCTCTTTCGGTGAAAGACACGTGTAAGGCAATTAACCTCTTCTCTGAAGAAAAGAGACCATGACCAATTGCCAGTCTTTTTTGTCAACAAATTCCATATATCAAATCCAAGATCATCAATATTGTTATTTATTTCTGTACTTGAATATTTGACTTGATAAACACATGATTTGATGTCCCTTAAACAAACAAAAAACATTTGACTACATGTCCCTTAAGCCAAAAAAACAATCGTACATGCACATAAGACCAGAGGTTCCATATCAATTCGTAAAATTGATCATTAAAAAGAAGGATTTGTTTCCGCATACTGAAAACTAAACAAATAATTGTAGCTTTAAACGTCATTAATGTACATTAAATTAAATAGTTAATTAACAGATTAATCGTATCAATCCAAAAAAAACGTTTTGGCATGATTATAACTTGTCACTTTTACAAACATATAAATATAGACACGCCTAGGAACATATTCTGAGTATACATCTTATAGTTTAAAACGTTTTAACAGAAGAAAATGATGAAGACGATGATGATGATGGTAATGATGGTTACTATTATGGGAGTTGTGATGGGTGATATTGTAGATAAGACATGCAAACAGACACCTGACTACACTCTTTGTCTATCTCTCCTTCGCTCCGATCCACGTAGTTCCTCCGCCGACACCGTTGGCCTTGGTCTCATCCTTGTCGACAAGATCAAGGTCCATCTCTCTCTCTCTCGTACATGGTCTTATTTTGATATCAGATACATAAAGGGGTTGATTTTGTAACAATTTAAAGTTCAATGTACGTGATTGTTAAAAAAACAATAAAAAAAAGTAAACATTGTGGTTGATATTTAATTATGTAAAGATTTCATTTGTTTTACGTAGGAGCTAGGGTATGAGACTCTTGGGCAGATCGTTATGTTGTACAAAAACAAACTGATGCTGAGACGACCCTTGCATGAATGTAATCTGAGATACAAGACGATCGTAGACGTTGACGTCCACACAGCCATTATAGCTATCAAAGGAAACCCTAAGTTCGCTGAGGGTGCAATTGTTGACGCCGGCGTTGAAGCCTCCGTATGTGAAGGAGGGTTTCCCAAAGGCCAATCTCCGTTAACCAGTCTGACCCAGAACATGATCAAGATCTGCGATGTAACCAGAGCCATCGTCCGAATGTTGCTCTGAATTATAATATTTCTTGTAACTGATACCTTATTGAAATAAGCTGATATATGATATAACCATCGATTCATACCTATTTAAACCGGATGAGTAGTTAATTTTAAGTTCTACTAAGCCGGTAGTGCCTTTCGTAAATGATTGAACCGGTTGTCAAATTCGGGCCAAAATGGGCACGAAGTTCTGGAACCTAAACACCTAATCTCGGGAGATACCAACATTCATGAATAAGATAACGACCGACGAGAGAAAACCCCATAATATATATTTTATCTCTTAGAAGTACCAAAACATATATACATGACAAACAATTTTTTCTTTTTAAATGATATGGTCGACGTCGGTATAGTGTAAATGTATAATGGTATTTTTATCCCATATGGACCGACTCGCATCGGAGCTATTCACCAATACCACACATAACATCTTTCCCTTGTTTTTTGCGCCAACAGGCAACAAGTCAACAACCACATAGTATAAGCCAAAACGATAAAGTGTTAGACAATTAGTTTTCTTTTTCCGTATTAGACCATTAGAGTAGGTTTATTGCAAGATTTTTAACGGAATTAAGAACCTGTCTTTTATTTTTTTAATTAAAAACGCTAAAAATTGATTCTTAAAGAAAATATTTAAGAGCCGGCTCAGACGAATTTTTAATTCTGCTAAGAATCTCTATCTTAAGAACCTTGTATTAAACATGCTCTTAGTTAACTAAGAGATCATCAATCAATATGCATTCACTAGTACTTAAAATCAAGTTTATACTCTAAAATACGCAGAGCTGCTTATATTTTAATATCACCTTTCTATATAGAAAAAAAGTTGTTGATCACGAAGCTTCGTCTCGGGTGGCAACTATAAGAACTATGTCTAACTAATAATAATTAATCTTTATAAAAATTCATTAATATCTGAGTTTGACATCGATATGTAACGAAATTCATATGCGACGACATGTAAAACATCTGTATTTGTGATCTTACATATAAACAAATTTAAATAGCAACTATATAAGTCTACAAAAAGAGCTAGCTAGTAGCACTCACAACAACACCACAAGTCTTTATCTATTTCAGAGGATGAAAAAATCATCCGCCGTCACATCACCACCATCTCTCTCCCTCTTCCTCCTCCTGCTCCTACCGTTTCCAGCTCAATCCTCCGATAATCTTATCGACACAATCTGCAAAGCGACACCATTCTTTGACCTCTGTGAAGCTTCTCTCCGCCCTCTCTCTCCCTCACCTTCTGATCCCAAGTCTATAGCTTCCGCAATAGCCAACGTTGTGCTCAGCAACATGACCGATACCTTAGGATATATTCAATCACTGATCAGACACTCTCACGATCCAGCTGCGGAGCGAGCGCTGGCTCAGTGCGCCGAGGTGTACAGGCCGGTGGTCCGGTTCAACATTCCTCAGGCGACAGAGGCAATGCGGCGAGGAGAGTTCGGATTCGCGACGTATGTGCTCGGAGACGCCGAGAAACAAACTGATTCTTGTCAGAAATGGATTGATAGTGCTGGCGCCGACGATGAAAGTTCCGTGCCTCTTACGGCTAGAAACAAGCTGGTTAAGAATCTTTGTGACGTGGCGATTATTAAGCCCAGTCATTCAAATCAGGCCCAAGCCCATATGATGATCAAGTCTGAGTCTGCAACACACAACAGACAAAAGACTCTAACGGTAAACAGAGGCAACGTAGAAGACAAGACAGCTCACCACCTACGACTGGTCAATAGATTCGGAGTCCTTCAGGATCAGATCGAGTGAGCTGTCAGACTGCACAGCTGTAGGNCACCACCTACGACTGGTCAATAGATTCGGAGTCCTTCAGGATCAGATCGAGTGAGCTGTCAGACTGCACAGCTGTAGGGTATCTAGGTTATTCCTATTGTTGTATAAATAAGTGAAGAGTACCTCATGTAAACGTCAAGTAATGAAAGCATAATTTCAGAGAAACAAATCTATCTTTCAAGTTTCTGTCTTTACCTTCATGGTATCAGAGCTCAGGGATTAGAACCTGAGACTCAACAATGGATGGAAATCAAGATCTCGCTCCTGTTACTTCGCTCACAATCACCCAAGTCGTTACCTTGAAGCTTAAAGAGGGAAACTACCTTCTATGGAAGCTCCAGTTTGAGCAGTTCCTGTCAAGTCAGAAGCTTTTGGGTTACGTCACCGGTGCTCAACCACGTCCGCCTGAAACTATCCCTGTTCGTAATGGAGATGTTGTTGCTGATGAACCAAATCCGGAGTTTGTCAAATGGCTGCAAAAAGATCAACTTATCCTTGCTTGGCTCTATGGTACTCTTACAGAGGATGCCCTCAAATCTGTCTACGGACTTCAGTCATCACAAGAGGTATGGCTTTCTCTAGCTAAGAAGTACAATAGGGTGTCTGCTACTAGGAGGTTAGATTTACAGAGACGGGTTCAAACCACTGTGAAAGGAACCAAAACTATGTCTGCTTATCTCTCTGAAATAAAATCTCTTTGTGATCAACTTGATTCCATTGGGGCTCCTATTACGGAACATGAGAAGATCTATGGGATCCTCAATGGATTAGGCAAGGAATATGAGTCAGTGTGTGCAGTGATAGAGCATGCTATGGACTCTTATCCAGCTCCGTGCTTTGAAGATGTGGTTTACAAACTCACTGGCTTTGAAGATAAGTTGCAGACATATCAATCTACCACTGATGTTTCTCCTCACCAAGCGTTTTACACTAACCGTGGAGGATACTCAAGCCGTGGTAGAGGAGGTTACAGAGGAGGATACCGTGGCCGTGGTGGTTCCTACACTACACAAGGTCGTGGTTTTCCACAACAGTTTGGTCAGAGTGCTCAACGTCCTCAGGGTTCTGCAGATAACCGTCCTACATGCCAGATCTGTGGTAAATATGGACATCCTGCGAACAAATGCTACAGAAGGTTTGATTGTCACTTTGCCGTGGACAACACTCAGCCTCAAGCTAATGTGCTCACGACAACTCAGAATGGTGCAGAGTGGTATCCAGACAGTGGCTCCTCTCATCACGTCACCAGCTCGCCTCATCACCTTGATTCTTCTCAGGCGTATGAAGGCAATGATCAGGTTATGGTTGGTAATGGAGCCTTCTTGCCCATAACACACACAGGCTCTGCATCTATTTCAACTCAGTCAGGTACATTACCTCTACTTGATGTTCTTGTCTGTCCTGAAATAACTAAGTCTCTGCTGTCTGTTTCCAAGCTTACCGATGATTACCCTTGCTCTGTGACTTTTGACTCAACATCTGTTTGTGTTCTGGATAAGGAAACCAACAAGGTACTCAGTCAGGGACACAAAGTTAAGGGACTCTATCGGCTGGATAATCCTCAGTTCATGTCATTCTACTCCTTCAGACAACAAAGTTCGAGTGATGCAGTGTGGCATAGAAGACTAGGACATCCTAATGATCAAGTTCTGCAACATCTATCTGCAATAAAAGCCATTCAAATAAACACGACTCTTCGGTCTTTGTGTGAATCATGTCAACTTGGCAAGACATGTAAACTTCCTTTTTCAAGTTCAGATTTTCGTTCTAGTAGAGTGCTTGAGAGAATACATTCAGATGTTTGGGGTCCTGCTCCTATTGTTTCAGTTCAAGGATTCAGATTCTATGTTGTATTCACTAACAATTTCTCAAGATTCTGCTGGTTTTATCCCATGAAATCAAAATCTGATGTGTCTTCTATCTTCAAAGTGTTTCAAAGGCAAGTAGAAACTCAATATAATCAGAAAATAGCAGTGTTTCAGTCTGATGGAGGAGGCGAGTTTCTTAACAACCAGCTCAAGTTACACTTTGAAAACTGTGGCATCAAACACATTGTTTCTTGCCCTCACACTCCAGAGCAGAATGGAATAGCAGAAAGAAGGCACAGACACATCACTGAATTGGGTCTCTCTATGTTGTTTCAGAGTCACTTACCGGCAATGCTATGGATAGAAGCATTTTACACGGCTGCCTTTCTCAGTAACTTGCTCCCTACTACAGTGAATGACAACATGAAGAGTCCCTATGAGCTACTAAACGGAAATGCTCCTGTCTACACTGCGCTAAGAGTCTTTGGATGTGCGTGTTACCCCTACCTTCGTCCTTATTCCCACAACAAGTTTGATCCAAAGTCTATACTCTGTGTATTCTTGGGCTACAATGACCGTTATAAAGGCTACAGGTGTTATCATCCTCCTACAGGCCGTGTGTATATAAGCAGACACGTCTTGTTTGATGAAAATAGGATCCCTTATCAAGATACCTATCAACATCTGCTTCCTGCTGCAACAACACAGTTAACAGCTGCTTGGAGAATGCATACTACTTCTTCTTCTTCATCTGCTGCAGAAGATTCTGATGTTGTTGAAGAGAGTCCACCTGTTGTACGCAGGCAAGCAATAGCACCTCATCTGGTTCAACACCAACCTGACACCCCTGGTGATTATACAACACCTGACACCAATCACAATGAGCCCGGATCCTCAGACTCCAGTCAAGCCTCAACACCACCGGTTTCACCACACGTGGGAATTCCAAATCAGGTTTTACCCCAACCTAATGATGAGAATACTCATGGCATGGTCACGAGAGCTAAAGCTGGAATACAAAAACCAAATCCAAGGTATGCATTGCTTGCAACTAAGGATATTCCTGCTGTTCCAAAAACAGTCAAGGAAGCGTTGAATCACTCTGGTTGGACTGATGCAATGAAAGAAGAGATAGAAAACTGTGCAGAAACAAATACTTGGACCTTGGTCCCTCCTCCACATGGTGTTAATCTTCTTGGTTGCAGATGGGTTCACAGAGTTAAACTCAATGCAGATGGGTCTTTCTCCAAATTCAGATCACGGATTGTTGCCAAAGGGAATGAGCAAGAAGAAGGCATCGACTTTCTTGAAACCTATAGTCCTGTGGTACGTACAGCCACTGTTCGTATGATACTTCATCTTGCTGTCATTGAAAAGTGGGACATCAAACAGCTTGATGTCAAGAATGCGTTCTTGCATGGAGACCTTACTGAAGAAGTATTTATGAGACAACCTCCAGGGTTCGAAAACAGAGAGCATCCTGATTATGTGTGTCGTCTCAACAAAGCAATTTACGGTCTTAAACAAGCCCCAAGAGCTTGGTTTGACAAGTTTAGCTCCTTTCTGATTGAGTTTGGCTTCGTCTGCAATGCAAGTGATCCTTCTCTCTTTGTGTTTCAGAAGAACAAAAGCATCATCTTCCTGCTCTTGTACGTTGATGATATGTTGCTTACAGGAAATGATCCATCTGTTTTGCAACAATTGCTTAAGTCTCTCAGCAAGCAGTTTCGAATGAAGGATATGGGCTCCCTGAGTTACTTTCTTGGCTTACAAGCTCAGTTTACTCATACTGGTCTGTTCCTAAATCAACAGAAGTATGCAACGGATCTCTTGCAAGCAGCGGGAATGCTCAACTGTGCTCCTATGCCCACTCCACTTCCTCTGCAATTGGATAGAGTGCCGCATCAGGATGAATTTTTCTCCAATCCGACATACTTCCGGAGTCTTGCTGGTAAGCTTCAGTATCTTACCTTAACAAGACCTGACATTCAATACGCTGTCAATCTTGTTTGTCAGAAAATGCACAAACCAACATTGTCTGATTTTAACCTTCTGAAGAGAGTGTTGCGCTATGTTAAAGGCACTTTGGCAATGGGTTTAACGCTCGAATCAGATACAAACTCTCATCTACGTGCTTACTGTGATAGCGATTGGGCCGGTTGTCAAGACACTAGGAGATCTACAGGGGGCTTCTGTACTTTCTTGGGATGCAATCTGATATCATGGTCTGCAAAGAGACAGGATTCTGTGGCTCGATCGTCGACCGAAGCTGAATATAGAACGCTTTCCGATACTGCAGCTGAGCTTGAATGGATAACACGTTTGATGAAGAGTATTAATGTTCCTCAGTTTGAAGCTGCAGAGATTTATTGTGACAACCTCTCGGCTGTTCACTTGACCGCTAATCCTGTGTTGCACAGAAAGTCGAAGCACTTTGCTACTCATTACCATTATGCCAGGGAGAAGATAGCAAATGGGTCTCTCATTGTGAAGCACATTCCTGCGACACAGCAACTGGCGGATATTTTTACCAAGTCGTTGCCTCAGAACAGTTTCTTCAGCTTGCGTTTCAAACTCGGTGTTGACTTTCCACCCACCTCGAGTTTGCGCGGGAGTATTAAGCCCAGTCATTCAAATCAGGCCCAAGCCCATATGATGATCAAGTCTGAGTCTGCAACACACAACAGACAAAAGACTCTAACGGTAAACAGAGGCAACGTAGAAGACAAGACAGCTCACCACCTACGACTGGTCAATAGATTCGGAGTCCTTCAGGATCAGATCGAGTGAGCTGTCAGACTGCACAGCTGTAGG